ATATTATTCTCATTTTAATAATTAAAATTATATATAACACAAAATAATAAGCTTATATATTGTACTTACAGCTTATAAACTGAAAACATTAGTAAATTGAAATATATATATATATATATAGATAATATTTTATATATATATATATTCATATATCTTGAAAGTATTGTTTCTCTTGAAATTAGATGATAATTAAAAGATTAATAATATAGCTAATAAAAACACGAGATATGTCTAATCCTAATTATGCGCTGGGGCATAAAATCATATGAAAAATGTGTTAAAAATATATAAATACTCTCTTAAAGAAGATAAAATGTAACGTTACATACCGCGGAAGCTCTTGGCGCTGTCGCTTTAATGTCGCGCAAAAAAATGCACTTAGATCAATTTACTTGGCACTTGGAGTTCATTCCTCTAGACGCTACTCATCCGGAATTAATCTGTGCAACGCATTTCCGCGACATTTCGGGCGATCGATAATATCGATTCACTACGGGAAAAGGGTCGTGTTATATGTATATCGGTGTAACGACGATGGTTTGCGCGTCGCATACTTATGTACCGAGTGAATATGACCTCGTGTATCGCAATGTGGTATATATCTACGTGCGGCATACGACACAACTAGGGCGATGCTACGTCAGATTGGCATTAAAATGTCTCCCCGACGATCTGACAACGGGAGCACGCTGATTTAAGCCGTGCATCATTTCGTCGCAGGCTGTAATTATTTTACAAAACGCGCGAAACTTCAAGTTCTCGTCTGCTGTCGGCTCTAGACGAGGTTTTGACGTCGGTAAATGCCGATGATTCGTTTCGATGTGCATACTGTTTATTAACATACTATTCCTAGAATTTCGTGAGTCAGGAAATTGCTCAATTCTATTTGGACGCAAAATCCAGTGCAAAGTAGAGATGATATAAAAGAGAATGCGATTAATCAAATTTTGAATTTTAAACAGTATAATTTATTGTAAAAATAATCAAGTCATATTTTTTTAATTTCTTGCGCAGTTTGATGTGTATTGCAAAGCATCAGCTCTTGAAAAAATTAGAATCTACTAATCTTTTTGGTTTATATTAACTATAGAAGAAATATTAATAAGTATTAGTAAGAAGTATTTAATTAAAATTTTTTTGCAAAAACAAAATTTATATTGTATTATGCAGAAACTTCAATGTGCTTTTGAGTTAAAGTCATTCAACACTATTCTAATCACCTTTTGAAGAGAAATGTCTCTCCCATTGTTTTAAATATAGCTTTTAATTAAAATATATTCATTCTTGCGCAACACTTGGTAGAGTTAGTTAATTAAAACTGGATTAGATGAGATATCGAGTTGTGTAAAATTTCAATAAATATTCGTTGTTAAATTAAACGAGTATTTCTTTGAAAAAATATAATATAAAATTTTACTTAATTTAAAATTATAATCTTTTTGTTTTAAAGATCTATCCAATTTTTATGCAAAATGTTTGTGACTATTTATCAATGCTAATATAACAGATAACTAATTAATAATTATGCATTATATGTATATATACATATAAATGTATTTATGTAGTTATTAACATACACACATCGATTTTCTTATTTTCATTGAAACAGAATCGATATCAAATATCGATAAAATATCACGAACATTTAGATCGCTACGTTTTATACAATAGATAAACATATTTTTTTCTGTGCCATTATATTAACGTTCTGTGAAAAATAATTTTAGTGCTCATAACTTTATGTCCAACAAAATTGAAAAAAATTTTTCTCTAAAAATTGTTTTTCAAAAATAGTAGTCGCTTTGTTGAAGTCCGGTTTGATTATTGAATAAGACTTAAATTTTTAATTTTAACAATGAATAACATAATAAATTGTTAGATTTTGTATATATCAATACTGTTTTTATGCTAATGAGTGCTTAACAAATTAGAAAAAAATGTTTAGTTTTATTTGTCAAAAAAGCGACTGGAAAGATCGTATAAGATGAGGGATAGAAGAAAGCAGGGACGGCCTTGGCTGACATTAAATCGGTTTGCATACTTGGCGGGGAATTAACGATTCACGTATGTCCACATAGATAGACCATAGTATCAGCCTTTCATTATTAGCGAGGATTGATTGATCCTCGATTGATGTTTTGTAAGGTTCGCGAAGACAGCTTTTATTCATTCCTCTTTCCCCTTCTTTTTCTTTCCCTTCTTTTACGAATAAATAATAAAATACTTAAAACTTTTTCTGCTTGCCTCATCCTTGTTAATAGCCTACAACTAATATCCCTTGTGTTGGTCAACGTGTGCTAGTGACATAATAACTTTGTATCAGAGAACTCGGTTGAAACTAACAAGTAACAGCAACTTCGTCGCGTTCGATTCAGATCTGATGGATTTAAACCTGGCGAGTTACTTACGAAGCGGTAGTCATTATTTAACATTAATCTAGGTTGATTATTTATTTATCGAGGACTCGCTACAAAGTAAGGCCCGCTTATTATCGTTTATTACAATTTTTATCTATTAAAATGTAATACGTGTATAGGATACATATATGACACAGTTTTATTTAATCACTTATGGATATCTATTTCTTTCGTTAAGTTTATCCATGCAGTTAATAAATTTCTTGAACTTTTCTCAAATTGATTTCTTCTCTTACTCTTTATTTATTCAAAGATCCGTGTGTTTTACCAATTATTTATACACACTCTTTTGAAATACCTGAATAAATTAGTTTTAATAACAAAGAAGTTTATGAGATTCACAACTCGATTCACTTTGCCTGCTGATCTTTTGTGTGATGACCTTTTGTATGATATTATGTGTTCATTTCTATTTAATTATAATCAATTATTAATTGGCATAATTCTGTTCTTCTATCTAATGATTTGCTAAGACGAAAATAGATAAATTCATTGATAATAATTAAAAAAGATTCGCTTGCTCGTGCGTGTGCAACGATATATCTAATTTAATTTTTTATAACATTATATATGTTATTGCTATACGAAAGATTTATTTTAGCAAATGAATGATTTAAATATTTTTCATTTTTCATTTTTTTTAACTCTATTCTCTTATTATATTTCATATTATTTTCTTTACCATTTATATTAAATTTAATTATATATTTGATACTTTAGATTATTTTTAAATATAACTCAAAATTTATTTCAACTTGAAATCACATTTGACATCTATTTATTTTTAGATGAATATTTCCCAGTATGTGACTGTTTCAAATAAATAATATAATAAATACATTCAAGATACTTCTTTCTCCAGTATACTGGATGACCTTGCCCTACTACATCTGATTTCAATTATTCTGGCATATAAACGGTCTTATTCGGAGAATAAATTGTCGTTACGATTGATATCTACTAAAATCGGACAGAAATATTTTTTGCAGATAATTGTGATATTTTTGATGGAAAAGAATATGAATATTCTATGAACACTAAACTCGTTGATTTAATCTTATGAAATAGATAATAAAGGATATGTATATCGATATTTTTTTAGATATACATAAATACATAGTATATGATATCTAAAATTTTATACTTATACATATATAATTTTTCTTTCATATAATGCTTCTTGTATTGAATAGAGTATACATAACGAGAGAATTAGTCTCTCGTTATATATAACACACGTTTTATAAACTATTTTGTGTATAAGTATCCCTAGAAATATGAGTCGCTTTATTAGTTGAGTCCAATTACATTTAATGAACGTTTGAACGTCGCCTGTTCCACATCATGTTTCATTTTACACAGGACCTTTTATGTTATTCGTCATGTCAATGAGTACTTTGTATGAAAAGACATCGTATAATTAGAATCGTTTTTGCGAGTAAAAGAAATATACATATATAGGTATAGAGGGAACTTTTTCTCATACAGTTAATTTATCGATTTATCGCACTACACTAAAAAAAATTCGTGTTTGTATTTTATATAACAATATTTACTATTGCACGAAAATATATTGCAAACGAATTTGAAAGCATAGAATATCGCCATTCTACAAAAATACATCATTTTTAAAGATGGAAAATATATCGATATCGCGTATCGTGACTCGAATAAGTCGATCGCGCATTCTAGAAAAAGAATGGTTCAAGAAAACTATATATGATATATGAACGCATGAATATATCTTGTGGAATTTATTCTTGGAGTGATTTATAATGCAATTTTCCAGAGGAAACTCGCTCGCACATTGAACAACCGGAGGTTAAAAATATAATAAAGATAAAAGTTACAAAAAATATTTTCAATACACGCATAAGATCGATATTAATGATGGTTACCATTCTACTTTAAGTTATGTATATATTTAACATTAATTACTAATTGCGTGCGAATCTCAGGCCACTTATAATATTGATAATATTTTATGCAATTTTAATCTTAGATGAAAAGAAATCGTGCAGAGATTTTCTGCAAACTCAAATAAAATTTATAAAACAGTAGGTCAATAGATTATTTGAAAACAAATTTTAGATGTCCCTTCACGCGCGCGTTTTATGTTTGATGTAACCTTTATTTATAGCTTATCACATACAATACGCAAAATTTTACGGTCGACGAAATGGCAGAGCGAATATTAAGGACTTTTTTTCATTCACGACACGTGTCGACCCATTTCCCTTGAATTTATATTGTCAATCGCCGCTGGCCAGAGAAAAAGTAAGCGCCATTATATTATACGATTGTACTTATAAAAAGAGTTTTAGGGACTGTAGATTAGGACAAACTCGCCCGAAGAAAGTTCCTTTGCAAGGCTATTCTTGGATAAAATGATTTTTTTACGACTTTAGGCTTTTAATCTTTCATTTCATTTTCATAAAAAGAATGAAATATTTGAACTTGGTTAGATCGTGTTTCTCGATGATAATTCATGATTTATTATATTTTCAAATTTTAGCTTAAAAGTGACAATATCAGCTGTCTGCTGATTCAATTTTATAGAAAAAAATTGAATAAAAGACTTACCGAACTCGTCTGCGGCAAAGAGCTTAAACCAAGTGTGGAGCGATCTGTAACAAAATTATATTCATGTAATGAAATATATTTTTCAATTCTATTGAATTTCTTCTTCAATATATTATCACTTTATGCGTTTAGATTTAACTAATTTATAAAAATATATATATTTTTTTTCCTAGAATATATGGACATAAAAGTGATTTGTTATTCTATTACTCTAGATCAAATAATTATTTTTTCATTATATTCATATTCCATGTAATATTTTATTTGAAAAATTTCAATATTTTAAAAAATCTCTTTGCAACATACTATTTCGCATAAAAATCATTCTTCAGAATACAAAATATATTATATGATACCCATTACATGATAGAGGTTGCATCTAGATAATAAGATAGAATATTCGATTTCATCTCCATGCGTATACGTGTATGTACATGGATATATGCTACATATATATACGAAAAACGCACCTACCATCGCATTACGTAGTGATGTAATAATATCAGTATATGATTTCTTTTCAAAAAAACATTTTAAATAAATAATTTATTTATAAATTTTAATTTGAAAAAAAAATCAAAAGTTCAATTACTTCAAATCATGCATTTATTAATATAATTAATCGCAGAAAAGTAATGAATAATTTAACGTAATTAATAATTTAAGTCGCATGCATTTGATAGTAGTAATATGTTTTTTTATCTATTCGATATTTTTGTACATGATGACATAGTTATTACATGTCTCTATTAATTTTATTTTAATTGATCAAAAATAAATGCTTTTTTGTTGTTAACATCTCGCAGATTGCAATCGTTTAGAAAGATAAGGTCATGACATTTCGTAGCTTCCTTGTTCACTATGCATTAATGGAGTCATATTGTTAAATTTAGGCGTGGCTCGCACAACGCGTGCGCTTGTGATTCTCCAGAGAACCTTGCGATATTATCGCTGTACCGTACCTTGTATATTATATTTACGTCTAAAAAAACAGTAGTAATAGTTCTGTTGCGCTGCACGCATGATAGTTAGCAAACAAGTTCACAGTCATATCTGGAATCAATAAATCCTAGTCACTGCATAGTTTTTCAAAATAAACTATATACAATTAATATTATTACATAGGTATATACTATATGTAATTTGGAGAAAATAAAATTTATTATAAGTTACATTTTTTATATGCTATTGTGACAGAGAATTTTCAATCCAATCTTGATAAACAAAAACTGATATTTATATTAAAGATTTTTGCAACACAGCTTTACTGTGATATGACCTGTAAATCTCTAATGCCTAAAATCGGATTTAAGGAATATTGCTATAAAGAGGAACTTCACTTTGAGACCATATTGAAGTTACTCAGCTTTACTCTTTCTCGCCTTCCTTTCTTCTTTTTTTGCCTTCCATATTCTTGTTATCGCAAATGCTTTAGAAGTAGTAAGGTACAATTTACTGTACACGTTTTCAAAGGATAAAAGGTACGAACTTTAAGAAGAGTGAGAAACCATACATTCATTCTACTCGATTTAATTGTGGTTTCTTCCGCGTCTCAACTGAAATATCGTCTCGCTTGTTCAGGCTAATGGATCATTTCTTTTTGCCATTACAAAATGGCATAATTGTGATTATTCCACGCGACAGTGGTCGCTTTTAATAATACATTAGCTTTAGATGGTCGAGCCATTGTAAATTACGTTCAAATTGAAAAGCCGCGTGACACGTGACATATTAACATACTCTGCAAACTCATGTCTATTAAGCATACAGGATAGATGTTTCGTATGTCAATTTATTAAGAATAATTTCTTTAATAAATGTGGAAACGAATATTTTCTTAGCGCAGATTCGACAAAAGTCTCAATGTATGGAGATATGGTGTCATATAATAGTTTTTAAAATAGTAAAAGAATAATAAAAGAATATTCTTGTGAACAAATATTTGGTAAATTTCAATCGGAATTGTTAACTAAATTGATCTTCCTCTTTCTCTTTTTAAGTTTATTTTCAATATTAAATATATTACTTAATAAAATCTCAAAATGTCAAAACTGATAGTAAGAGATTAATATTAATCCAAAAATGAATCTTACATATATCTTGTGTATTATAATGCTGCTCTTATAAAATTTTCCTAAATAATAGTCTGAAAATATAACATATTTTATATTCAATTTTATTCTTTACATTTCAAAATTTTTAATTTTGAAACAAGGTAGGCGGGATTTTAATTGTAATAAATGATATTTTGATCAGTTTTATATCTTCTCCATGAATTTTTCAGTTTTCTGTGAACAAAGTAAGCTTTGCCAAGCATGAAAAGTCTACAGTGCGAAAAGACGTGCAATTTTCTTTAGAAAGGAATTTGCTAAAGCCATCCCACTTGATACTCCTCTGGAGATCTTTCGCCGAGATATTGTAGTACCTCATTTTAAACATTATTTTCCTTACTTCATGCGTGAAAATACATTTCACAGATACTTCAGCATTTTATTGAGATTATTATGTCAGGTAAAACTTTATTAATTACAGGACAGTTATGTATGAATGTGATACTGGGATCTTTATATTAATCATATTTGCTTACACAATATTTAGATTTCTTTCTTTACGTGCAACTTATGATAAAAATAATGTATTTACTTTTGTAAAGTAACATGTTAAAAATATAATGCAATTAAATAAAAATTAGGAAATTAATCCTTTCTTTATAAATATATTGAAGTACGATATAAAGATTAAAATTTTTAAATTCTATAGAGAGGAGAAAGAGAGAGAGAAAGAGAGAGAGATTATTATATATTTTAATTAATCTTAATGAGTGATTTTTTATATGCCAAATCATGCTTGTGGAAATGCTTTTGCATAATGCATAAATTGCGTTTTAAGGTGCGTACCCTGTCGACTGTGAAGCTGACAAGCAGTAACGCGTGTCATATGCATACACACGAATGCACTATTGATTGGCATCGTTACTGCAATTTTCTCCGGCAACAAAATGCTTTAATGTACAACATACAACAACATACATACATGCAACATAATTTTACTCTGAAAATATTTGTAGTAGTATTTATTATTGCAACTTACTAGTTTAACACATAAACTCTTAAAATCTCAATTAAAACTTTGCAGAATAATTTGGAATTATGATAATAATCAAAGTCCTAATCAACAAATTATTTAGCCATAAATCCACTATTAACGCGCATAATTGTAATCCGTTATAAATAAAAAAATCTAAACAATATATATTGATATAAATCTGCATAAAGATTTTTTTCAATGTTATCATAAATTTCAGAAAATAGAATATGTTTTTTAATAACTTAATATATTTTACACAAACGTTTCCCGTAATGCTATACTTTCCTCAACCTCATAAAATACCGATTATACAATAATGATTATATAATAATCGATTGTGTGTGTGCCCTACGAACAAATGGTCTGTTGGCTCCTTTTGAGTGGATTAATTCGATCACAGTAACGTCCTGGCATAACATGGAGTGATATCTAATATCGTAGTCATCTAACTGTCGCGAATCGATCGTTACATACATGCAAATGTCAGTAACAAAAATAGCCTTAACATAGGCATAGTCCAGAAACATTACGTAATAATGAACTCCATTTTCCCTGTCAAATCAACAATTAATAATCCTATTGTGAATAACGCATATATAATGGATAATGAATAATGTCGCAAATCTCATGCGACAATAGTGATGCATCAATATATAAAATGTCCCCGAACTAATCGATCTTTATTTTAATGTCAACTTATTTAGCTTTAATAAATTTAAGTTTGAAACAAGATTTTGAAATTTCCTGAAAGAAATAATTTACACATTTTTAAAGATTTCAATATTTAAATTTCAAATTAGAAATGCGAAGTTGCGTGCAGTTTTATTTCACATGTCATTGTATACAAGTACACGCAAGCATTTCGTAATCCCGAGCAGTGCGAGTTGTTTCTTGAAATTTCCATTTTTAACAAAAACTCAGAACACCCCGTTATTCTTGTGAAAAAAATTGGTTTTCATACATTCGAAGATTCAAGTAGCGTGCATTTCGCCCCGTTAAATAAGTTGCAAAACTAAAGAACAAAAACTATTCTTTCTGATTATCCAAGCTTTAATAAAAATTCTAACGAGATTATCTCTCGTGCATCTTTGACCAGAGTTATAATTAAATGGAGTTATAACTAATGAGATGCGCGGAAGTAAATTATGCGTAATGTTCCACTTTTCGTCATCCTTAATTAATGTGCGAGCACAACAGTTAAATTTATATGCAAGACACTACCGTGTCTCTTGATAATTATTATAAGTGGACAATACATTTGATAAGATTATACGTAAAGAATCCTTCACAATTTTGTAAAAAATTCTCGCGCAAAGAAATATTAATTAATATTAACAAACCCGACATTCGTATTGGTAAGATCGGGAAGGCCGACGCTTTTTCCAGGAAAATCCGATAATCAGCTTTGTGTCGCTTAGTAGCTAGCTATTAATAACAAAGATCTGCTTTCTACAATGCAGAACTTTCAACAATTTTTTCATTTTGTACTGGAGAGAAAATAGGATTATTTTTCTATGATTTTGATGAATTCCTAACATATTGTAAAATTAAACAAGATCATAATATCTTTTTACAGTTGCTAATCAAATATTAATATACATGTCAGATAATACTTTTATTCGCACTCCTTTTTTACGATTGCGTCTCCTTATCTAAAAAAGAGTTTGTAGATTCCAATTATATATTTATCATAATAATTTTATTATATTCTTACTGTCATAAAACATTATATTTTAATAGCATCATTTAAGTAAAATGTTAATTAACGAAACAGCTTTTCTTTAAACGAACTTTTTTCTTTCTTCCAAATTCAAAAAGAGCACTTTCTCGCAAACCATGCTCGCATGTCCTTCGATAATTACATTTGGCAAAAAATCGTTCTGGAAACTTCCATCGCGGAAAATCCAATAATCTTCTTCATGACGTCCAATTCTACGAATCAATTCCACACTAGTGT